TTTGAACCTTAAACAGCGACCACTATTGACGCGTAACGTTGCCAACACATGAACGTCCACACAAGAAGGCGGCTATCAGCGATGCTTTCAATGGAGCGACCAATAAATTCATGACCACCAAGGAACGCTCAGCGGAGAAGCGACAAAAGATGCTACAAGGAACAGGTGGCAGAGAAATCGATGCCACGCCGACAGGATTAATCGCTTCCGAGTGACACGGCGCGGTTCGATCGCATCGTCCACGGCGACAGCTGCTGGCGACCCGCAACAACGCTCGCGTCTTTCGTCGCTTGACGTGGTGACAAGAACAGAGACGGAAGAGAAGGTCTTGTGTGGCGCGGGCCATCAGATAAAGAAAATGTAAATCACGCAGAAAAAAAAATGGAGCCAAGCAAAGTGTTTTGCCCTGTCATCTGTAAGACATAAAGATATCCGGCCACGTAAAAAATAAAAAAAAAGTCTCCCGAAGCAAGAAGCTCAACTCTGTATATTGATTTATTTGGTCATTTTACTTTATTTTTCCTTCAAGATTTACGTTAGTCTATGTACATTCGAGTGTTTCAGAATACCCTGAGGGTAGTACAGAAATAATCATGCAGTAGCTTATTTAAGCGGAATGAAGCAAGAAGATGTTGAGTGAACGAATAAAGTCAAGAAATGGGTGGTCTGCAAAATAAAAACCCAATTCACTCATTTATATTGAAATTGGCAGTGTGTGAATTGCAACAGCAGTGATAGTAGGTGGTTTCACTTGATCCAGCTAATTAGAGTCAAGGCTATTCAGTGTATGTTTTAGTGGTGCATGAGGTAAAGCGCAATTTTTTCTTTTCGGTGCCAGTTCAAAAAAGCATTCTTACTCTTGTTTTGACTTTGACATGAGAAACCGACGCAAATATTCTCAATAAGTGCAAATTATACGTAATTTATTCATGCCAGCAAGTACATATTGGGTGTTCGTGTAAAGCGTACAGTCCTGTCAACGTTTAAAAAGGACACAGTGTTTCATTTCTACTAAGAGTTATCATTGAAGTATAAAGCAAGGTCTCAAAAGCAGCTAAATCATATATTAGAGGTCATATGAAACTATAGCGTCACTCCAATAAGTACTGCAGTTTTGCAAGCCCAGCTAGCCCAAACAGCAACTCTTATAGAAGGCAAATTACTTATGAGTATATGTATACCTAAGCGTCTATATTCAGAACATCGCTAGAGAAAATTTTGATAAAATACTTACGTTATCAGCAACGTGAACGGTTGTTGCGTGGTTTTACGCAATTTTCAGTGCCGTATCAGACTCGCCCATAGCAGTTGTTGCATTCCATGGTGGTGAAGTCGGCGCACGTGTTTTGGGAGCGTAGCATTTGCCGAAAAGGATGAAGCGAACATGTATCCTTTGATGATGATGATGATTCCGGTTTCAACTACTCGGCAGAAAAAAAAATCTTAGCGTTACGCTTTTAAAGAATTAACGTACTTGTTCAGAAATCAGTGCTCATTATTGGGCCCAAGACTGTTATCACTATTTTGCAACGTTGCAACGTCGACGTTTTATCCGTGCTTTCGTTGAAAAGCACTTCAAAGTAACCTCTGTGCAAGTGATGGGCACCTGTGAAACTTGTTTCTCTGCTTCATCATGCGTTGTAAAAACAAGCCCTCTTTTGATATTTTCGCCTTAACAGGCGAGAAACTTGCTTTTTATTTCATAACGTGTTGTGAGAGAGAGCCTTACTTCAATGTTCTCGTTCATAACAGAAAGCACTTGTAAAGCTTGCTTCGCCACAAAAAAAAAAAAATGCTTTGAGAAGAATCCTCCTTGGTACACACTCGTCCACGAGAGAGAGAGAGATTGACTTTATTTAAACATATCCTGAGGAGGCTGAGAAAGGACCATTCCGACCCTTAATTCAACCTGGAAGCTCCGCCCAGGATGGCGCTGGCAGCCGAAGGCTTGTAGCGATGTCCCGGGCCCTCTGGACCGCCTGTAGTTGCAGCTCGTATTGATTGCTCTTGAGGGCTTCCTGCCAAGCCTCTTGGGTATTCAGTTGTGCTGCGCTATGGGTAGGGCACAGCCAAAGCATGTGTTCGAAATTGCAATAGGGATGGTTGCAAAGGGAGCATGTGGGTGGTGTGTCGGGGCCGATTCTGTGTAAGGTGGATGGTGTTATGTACGTACGTGTTTGCAATCTTCTGAGAGTTAGAGCTTGTGCTTTGTTAAGTTTTGGGTGCGGTGCTGGGAAGGCACGTCTTTGTCCCCGGTAATGTGAAGTGATCTCGTGGTATGTGAGTGCTTTGTCCTGGCTGCAGAGATTCTCGTACCGCTCACTCTTTGAGGGGTCGTTGTCCGCGGCGCGGCGTGTGAGCTCACGCGCCAGGCGGTTGACCTCTTCGTTGGGATTGCAGTGGTCGAGTCCCGGTAACTGTCCCATGTGGGCTGGGAACCAGGATACGTAGATTTGAGCTTTCTCTTCCTTAACAAGGGTTTCTTTGCTCTCGTACTCTC